TCCCGCCCCCTTGATAAACGACCAATAACATTCACTTTATTCACTCATATAAAGTCGGGCACCACTCGGGAGAATTTGCAAATGCAACGGTTGGAACGGCCGCTTCCGTACGACTTGAAATGTGTGGAGAAGTAGGTTATAAAGCATACCAAGCATGTTGGCAGCATCATGCTGAGGGGACGAGTTTCTTTAACAAGGACAGGCTGTTTAAGCTGTCAGCAGGATGAATGGAGCTAAAAGGGAAATCTTTTCTACAACACAATCTGCAAACCAACAGAACTGAAAGTGTAGCCAAGACTGCTTCTTTTCTGTCCATCTGCTCTGTTAGGAATGTGAAACTTGATCGACACATTTTCACGTATTTTAATTCATTTAGTAAATGTAAGCTGAAGTTGTGCCAAAGGGCAGTTATACCAGCTGTAAATGTCCAAAGGGCAAAAAAAACGCATCGTTATCAACGTACTAAATACCATTTATCAATTAAAAAAAAAAAATTATTTTGGAAATAAAAACTCCAATCATCTCGAAAAACCATGAAAAAAATAATGGCATCTGTTTACATTTGATACCAAAATTGCATAAACAAAACAACCCAGAAAAACGTTTTTAAGATGCTGGTGAAAATTCTCAGTCATCCAGGTCATAGTGAATATAAATAAGTAAAAAAAAAAAAAAACAATCCAGTGGACTTTGTTTCCAAGTTTGAAGACGTTTCTCTTCCCATCCAGGAAGCTTTTAGACAGGTATGGGGCATTACAGGCTAACAAAGAACCCAAACGAGCCCCTTATAACAGGGATGGACCCGTTCATCCGTTTCTATTTGCATGTTTTCTAAACTAAAACCAGGCTTAGTTGGGCTGCTGGATAAAACCTGGAACTAAACGCTATTTCTGACATTTTGAATTGAAAAATCTTCCTGGATGGAAGAGAAACTTCTTCAAACTTGGAAACAAAGTCCAGTGGATTATTTTTTAACATTTTTTGAGTGTTTTAGCAACATGTTGCATTTTTGAACTTCTGGTCCAGTTCTACCAAAGGTTTGTTTTCAGAGGCTGTGTTTTAGATGAAGAGGCGTTGTTCTAACCTCTGGTAGACTTTTAATGAACTCCCTATTGGCTGGTGTGATCAGTTATGCTTAACTAGCCTCCAGAGGCTCTTTGTAGAGTGTTTGTTTGTATTTGTTTTTGTGCTAAGCTGCTCGGTCTACTGCGCATCCTTTTCCTACCCAAGCTTAACCTTCACATCTAACATTGTTTTTGTTTTTATAAACGTATAAAAGAATTCCTCCCATGCGTCATTTAGCCCGACGGTTCGTCTCTTCCTCCAACATTAAGCCTCTGTCACCTTGAACAAACAGATAGAAATGATGCATCTGGGCACTGCACGCTGTTTTCATGGTTAGACAGGAGTTAGTGATCATATGCTTGCATCTTTGTTTAGGCTTCCTCTGCTTTTTTTTTTGCATCAGCGACGTCCTGCGCCGTCTTTGATTACAGGCTCAGCGTTGGCTGTGAGCACAGCAAACACGCTCTCTGTAAACAGATCCGCAGCAGCTGCCGTGCACGGCCAGCATGGCGGAGCGCTGCGTCGCCGCTGCTGTTGGTTTAACGTCGGTGCCATCAGTCACAACGTCGAACAAGAGCCTAAATCCTAAGTAATCCGTTGCTGAAAGCTTGGTGGATTAAAAAAACAAAACAAAGAAAAAACGTTATTTTCTTTCGGTTTTGAATCTGTTAGATCTTTGGTTGAAAGTGGATTTCATTACTTTGGATGAAGATGTTCTAAAAATATTTTACCCTCCAAGTTTATGGTTTCCTCAGCCGGGAGCCAAGATCTAAATAAGGCTGCAGGCTTTGATCTCAGGAGAGAGACAAACTGCAGAAGCCAGGAGATTCAAATAAAGATGTATTTCCTGTAGGGTTAATCCTGGTTCTGGATATTAACCTTTAACGGTTTAGTCTGGCAGTTTGTTGTCCAGGTCGGCCGTCACTTTGTGCTCATTTTCCCAGGAGTGTCTTAGAAAAAGCCGCCTGTGGCCGGGGTTCCCTGCCATCATGCGATCAGATTCATCCTAAGGGCTTCCAAGGCACAGCCTGCTATTTGTTGTCGGCTAATAGCCTGAAGCTAACAGTCCTGTTGTTGTAGCAACTGTGAATTACTGTGAATACAGCAGATGAATTAGCTTGTTTTCTGTTTCATTTACTCCCAGTACTAGATTTGGTTTTACTTCTAGCTTCATAGCTGAAAAAGTACTCCAATATTTTTTTTTCACTTAGTTAAAAATGTATATTTATTCTGTTGTCAGTTTTTCTCTGCATTTAGTAATAGCGTCTAATCACTGCCATTGGGAACCTACTAGCACTAAGTTGCTAACTGCTTAGCAAGATGCTTCTGACAAACCGGCCACAATGCGAACCTTCCGCCACAACAATCCCGCCCCCTTGATAATCGACTAATCACATTAGCTTTATTCACTCGTGTAAAGTCGAGCACCACTC